TGCAAATTTATTTTGTGTTTTGGAGTAATCGTATAATTTTGAGAAGATATTTGTTTAGTTTCTGTAATCTCTGTTCAGTTTCTGCAATTTGGTATTTTATTTTTCGCTGCTTTTGCATTCTGGTTCTCTGTGATTGTTGATTATGGGTACTAAAAGAGATAATTCGCTTTAATCTGTAAGTGTGAGGTTGGATGGTAAGAACTATTTGTATTGGAGCTATGTAATGAGAAATTTTCTTAAGGGTAAGAAGATGTGGGGGTATGTTAGTGGAACTTATATAATATCTAAGAATGTTGAGGAAGGGGATGCTTTTTTGATAGATACATGGGAAGCAAATAATGCAAAGATCATTACTTGGATCAACAATTCTGTTTAGCATTCGATAGGCACGTAGTTGGCGAAGTATGAGACAATAAAAGAGGTTTGGGATCATTTACAAAAGTTATTCACGTAATCAAATTTTGCAAAACAGTATCAATTAGAGAATGACATATGAGCTCTTCATCAGAAGAATATGAGTATTCAAGAGTTTTATTCTGCTATGACAGATCTTTGGAATCAATTGGCTCTTACAAAATCGGCAGAATTAAAGGCATGCGGTGCTTATATTGAGCGTAGAGAGCAACAACGATTAATATAGTTTTTAACAGCACTTCGCAGTGACTTCAAAGGACTTAGAGGTTCAATTTTGCATCATTCTCCACTGCCTTCTGTTGACTCTGTTGTGAGTAATTTATTGGCTGAAGAAATATGTCTTCAATCTTATTCTGAAAAGAAAATTCTTTCTGCTTCAAATCCTTGAGTACTAGCAGTACCTTCTAAGCCATTCTCTAATCATTAGAAGAAACCTTACACAAGGGTTGGCTTCGATGAGCGTAGTTTCTATAAGCAGAAAAGTCATTGGAAGGTTCAGTGTTCTAAGTTGAGACAACAAAATCAAGCTTGGAAGTCTGGCAGTCAGTCACAACCTATTGCTCACAGACCACCTCAAGGTTATAAACCATCACACCATAATACTGCAACAATAACTTCCCCAGGCTTTATTACCGATCCCAATACTTTGGCTGAGCAATTTCAGAAGTTTCTCTCCTTGCAGCCACAAGCAATGTCCGCTTCTTCTTCCATAGGTCAGTTGCCTCATAGTTCCTCAGGTAAATCACACTCTGAATGGGTCTTGGATTCTGGTGCTTCTCATCATATGTCTTCAAATTCCTAATCTTTTACCTCTGTGTCCCCTTTGTCCTCCATTCCTGTTATGACTGCTGATGACACTCCTATGCCCTTAGCAGGTGTTGGTTCTGTTATCACACCTCACTTGTCTCTCCCTAATGTTTATCTTATTCCAAAACTCAAATTGAATCTTGCATCTGTTGGTCAAATATGTGATTCTGGTGATTATTTAGTCATGTTTTCGGGTTATTTTTGTTGTATATAGGATCTGCAGTCTCAGAAGGTGATTGGGACAGGCCGTAGGGAGAATGGAATATATATTTTGGATGAGCTAAAAGTGCTAGTTGCTACTGCCCCTGCTGCTACTACTACTATTGATTTGTCTTCCTTTCGTTTAAGTATTTCATTTTCTAGTTTTTATTTATGGCATTCCTGTTTAGGTTATATTTTGTCTTCTTGTTTGATATTTTTGGCATCCATATGAGCTATAAAAAAATTACAAACTTATGATATTTTTGATTATAGTGGATGTAAATTGATAAAATTTTCTGAAATTTAAAAAATTGTGACATTTCTAATTGTAGTGGATGTAAACTGATAAAATTTTCTACTTTACCTTTTAATCGAAGTATTTCTGTTTCTTCTTCACCATTTGATTTGATTCATTCTGATGTATGGGGACCTTCTCCTGTTGCCATAAAAGGAGGGTCTCGATATTATATATCTTTTATTGATGATCATACTCGTTATTGTTGGGTTTATTTAATAAAACATCGTTCTGAATTCTTTGAGATATATACAGCTTTTCAAGCTCTTATCAAAACTCAACATTCTGCTGTGATTAAATGTTTTAGGTGTGATATGGGTAGGGAATACACCTCTAATAAGTTTTGCCAATTGCTTGCCTTAGATGGAACCATCCACCAAACTTCATGTACAGATACTCCTAAGCAAAATGCTGTTGCTAAAAGAAAACATAGGCATATTGTCGAAACTGCTTGTTGTCTGCTTTTGTTCCTAGTGAGTTTTGGGGAGAAGCTGTTCTTACTGCAGTAAGTTTGATTAATATAATTCCATCTTCTCATAGTTCCGGTCTATCTTCTTTTGAAAAGTTATATGGTTATGTCCCTGATTATTCCTCATATAGAGTTTTTAGTTGTACTTGTTTCATTCTTCATCCTCATGTAGAACGCAGTAAGATATCCTCTCGATCCGCTGTTTGTGTCTTTCTAGGTTATGGTGAAGGTAAAAAGGGGTATCGTTGTTTTGATCCAATAACTCAGAAACTTTATGTGTCTCGTCATGTTGTCTTTCTTGAGTATATATTTTTCTTTTCTATTTCATCTATTCCACCCACTACTCATAACATGACTAAATCTGATATTATTCATATAGATCCCTTTTCAGAGGATTCTGGTAATGATACCTCTCCCCATATTTGATCAATTTGTACTCATAACTTTACAGGTATTGGCACTTTACTCTCTAGCACACCTGAAGCTCCATTCTCATCTACAGCCCCTCAAACTTCATATGAGATTATGGATCCACCTCTACGTCAGTCCATCCATATTCGTAAGTCCACAAAACTACTAGATTTTGCTTATTCTTATTATTCTTCATCATTTACTTCCTTTTTAGCTTCTATTCATTGTCTCTTTGAGCCCTCTTCCTATAAAGAGGCAATTCTTGATCCACTTTGGCAGCAAGTTATGGATGAAGAACTTTCTATTTTGCATAAGACAGATATTTGAGATCTGGTTTCTCTACCTCCTAGTAAGAGTGTTGTTGGTTGTTGTTGGGTGTATAAGATTAAAACTAATTCTGATGGGTCTATTGAGGATACAAAGCTAGGCTAGTTGCAAAAGAATATTCTCAATAATATGGTATGGATTATGAGGAGACATTTGCCCCGGTTGCAAAAATGACTACTATTGATACTCTTATTGCCGTAGCTTTGATTCGTCAATGGCATATTTCTCAGCTTGATGTTAAAAATGCCTTCTTGAATGGAGATCTTCAAGAAGAAGTTTACATGGCACCTTCTTCTCGTATTTCACATGACTGTGGATATGTTTGTAAGCTTAAGGAAGCATTATATGGTCTCAAACAAGCACCCCCTGCTTGGTTTGAGAAATTCTCTATTGTGATCTCATCTCTTGGTTTTGTTTCTAGCAGTCGTGATTCCGCTCTTTTTATTAAGTGCACTGATGTAGGTCGTATAATTCTATCTTTATATGTTGATGACATGATTATTACTGGTGATGACATTGATGGCATGTCAGTTTGGAAGACAGAGTTGGCTAGACGATTTGAAATGAAGGATTTGAGTTATCTTTGATATTTTCTAGGTATTGAGGTAGCATACTCACCTAGAGGTTACCTTCTTTCTCAGTCGAAATATGTTGCAGATATTCTTGAGCGGGCTAGACTTACTAATAACAAGACTATAGATACTCTCATTGAGGTTAACGCAAGGTACTCTTCTTCTGATGGTTTACCTTTGATAAATCCTACTTTATACTGCACTATTGTTGGGAGTTTGGTATATCTCACCATTACTCGTCCAGATATTGCATATGTTGTTCATGTTGTTAGTTATTTTGTTGCTTCTCCTACTACTGTTCACTAGGCTGCTGTTCTTTTTATTTTGCGATATCTTTGGGTATAGTTTTTCAGAGTCTTTTACTTTCATCCACCTCTTTTTTGGAGTTGCGTGCATACTCTAATACTGATCATGGTAGTGATCTCATAGATCGCAAGTCTGTTATCGGGTTTTGTATCTTTTTAGGTGATTTTCTTATTTCTTAGAAAAGCAAGAAACAATTTATTGTTTCTCAGTCATCCACCGAAGCAGAATATCATGCCATGACATCTACTACTAAAGAGATTGCTTGGTTACGTTGGTTATTTACTGATATGGGAGTTTCCTTTTCTTATCCTACTCCTATGTATTGTGACAACCAGAGTTCTATTCAGATTGCTCACAACTCGGTTTTTCATGAGCGAACTAAGCACATTGAGATCGATTGTCATCTTACTCGTCATCATCTTAAGCATGGCACCATTGCTTTGCCTTTTGTTCCTTCTTCCTTGCAAATTGCAGATTTCTTCACCAAGACACATTCCATCTCTCATTTTTATTTTCTAGTTGGCAAACTCTCGATTCTCGTTTCTGCCGCATCATGAGTTTGAGGGAAGATGTTAAATAATATTTATGTAGTCTTATTTATTAAGGGTAGAATAATACTTTCAATTTAATCTATATATACTTTATTTGTATTTAGTTTAAAGTTAATCATTCATAATATACAGATTATTCAGAATTCTAGCATTCTTTTTGTGTTTGATCTTAATTATTTTAACAAGTTCAAGACTTAACAAAAACATTAGTAGCATGAATGGCAACATGCATAGGTAATGACAACATGCATTAGTAGTTATAGATTCGGTAACAGTGTATTCGGTAGGATATGGGTTAAGGTTCGTCGTAAATTTTAACTTAGACTGCGGAGAGTCCAAGGCATGCAAACACATCTATTCTGGCAATTTGTGAGTTGTCATAATAGACAACTGGTTTGTTGGTGGCAGGCTAGGATGAGAAGAAACAATTGGGGAAGTTTTTGCGGTTGATTGTTTTGGGAAAAACTAATCGGGTGTGTTCTAAGTCTTAGGGGATGATTTTTGTTATAATTTTTCATGTTATTACACTTTAAATAGGCTACATATAAGTGTGTAGCTTGCAATTTTTATGTGTAGGTAGAAACCATTGGGCATAGCACACAAATACGGATTGATATGTTTCTTTTGTTGAGATTACTAAAAGGTTGTTATGGTTCCTGTATTTTAAGTGTGTTAAACTATGCATATTCTCTCTACTTGTGTATTTCTGCTAGTGCGAATTTTATTTTTTTTGATGAAGAGAAACACTTAATTATTAAACAAGCACGAGAGGATTAATAAAAAAGAAGGTTAACAGGGAGCTGAGCTGCCGCATAGAAGTTGAGATTTTGATGAGAAAATCGACCCTGTGACAACACCCCTTTATTCTTGAGTATTCGATCTGTAAGTAATCTAATCTCCATATGATTATGATGAAGGTTATTAGCTGAACTTTCATGAAATAATGGCAAGTACAACTGGCTTCTCTGAATCCTATATAATTGCAATGAAATGATTTGACGGGCATGGAACTGCAGCGGAACAAGAGTTGAACTGTTGTTCCATCATATGTTAGATACTAAAGCAGCCGGACATCAGCTTTGGTTTCTAAAGGAGCCGCCATGCGTGCTTAAGCTTGTTTTCCATGATAATCACGATTTTTGCAAAGGGAATGAAGAAGCCAAGGCGGCTCTAGATGGCCAGATAATAATGGAAGTAATTGTGCCTTCTTGCTAAATTTGCAAACCTATCAGATTATCCAGAACAGAAGTACTGTAATGCTTCTAGAAAAAAACAAGGGTTAATATCTCAACAATAGAAGGCTTCCTCCATGGTCCAATACAAACCACTATCACCAGAATAGGAGATATGTATAAATCTACTTAAAATCTGCACCACTGGTTTTTTCCTAGCCTGGCTCCATTTCAGAAAAGTTATGTCTCCATGTTCTGAGGCTGAGAAAGCGATCTGCAAAGAACTAAGTTTAATGCACAATACGGAAATGTCCAGTATATCTGTCACTCTCTCTTTGTTTTCTGAACCTCCCAATGTCCATGACAGTGTCTTTACTCTCAATTCACCAACTAGAACTTTATCGTCGTTCGAATCCCATACTTAGAAACCATCAAAATTTCAAAAAGTTCTCACACACAAAAAAGAAGGAAAATCAACCAAAAAGTAGGAAGTCAAAACTCAAAAGGTAATAACCAGGGAATAACATTTACCACTGTCCATTAGTAACGTGAAGGCCGAAACCAGCATGAAAATTTTTCCCCTGAATGGACCACTTGAAATAAATCATAAATACCCACATAGAAATAACTGGCGTGCACAGTACACCGCATGCACACTATATATGTGTGACACATACCGTACAAATATAATATACACGCGTGAGACGGAAAAATTGCTGTACAGCTAAACCAACTAATTAAGAGAAGGGAAAAAAAATTACCCTTAACGTCGCCGTCTTTGAGAGAAGCTCTCCCATGTTCTGTGAACGAGATTGATTGAGAGAATGGACAATGGAAATATGCGACTGCAAAGGCCCACCATTCTCACTGAAATGCGGTGCCCCGCTAAACCAAGAGACTAATGTATTTTCTTTATAGTTGATAATGACCTTGCCTTTTTTGAAGCACATGAAGGCCATGTTACTCTTGCCCCCAAACTCCTGTAAAGACAACATAGTAAGGTCTTTCTTTTAACATCATTTCAACTGCTGCACACGGCTACTTTACCACGCAAATCATGTCTCAAACTGTAACTGCCTAGTGCCCACTTGGGATCTTTTATGAACAAACCCAAATTACATCAATACCCTTGTTAGTTGCATCAGTCGTCTCTACTAGCTATTGCCAGAAATTTGGCAAGACCTGGAGTCATGACAGTAAGAGAAACAACTATATAAGATGGAACTGTTCATCTCCACATCCACATGTTATTGGCATCTGATAGCAAGTAGCATAAGAATCGAATGGCATTACATCAGTTTATGCCATCAAGATTTGAAAAGGGGAAAACAACTGACCCTGATATGGAATGAAAGAAAATGCGATTGTTAACTTGAATAATCATGTCAGCATGCTCAGTATGGTTCTTTAGTAGAAATTTTATTTAACACAGCAAGTTAACCTGGTTCATAAGAACAACAATATCAGCTGAAAGATTTCTGTCTTGTCCTCTTCGTTCATGTACTCTATGGTCAGGAAACCGATGGTGATGCACTGGAAACGTCAAACAGTCACATGGGTTGTAAGGAAAGTAGTCAGAAACAAAGGGCCCAAGAACGCAGACTTGCAAGTAATACCCAGCTAAGATTATCAATCAGATAAATATTGAGATATTGATCTGTGAAAGCTAAGGACTTCAAATATGACACCAATTAAAAAACGATTGAGCAAGCATTAATAATAAGATTAGGCCCTTGACTGCAGAAAACTAGATAGAGATGGAACGTATGGGTTTAGGCGAGGAGAATATTATTTAGCCGGGTCCGCTTCAGAAGAATTGAAAACAATTGCAAGAATTAAGGATATGCTTGTACCTGGTATGCTAAACCAAGGTGAGAGCAATGGAATTGAAATCACCACGACACCGTATGTACGATCAACGCAAAAGACATAATGGGTGCCCATTTTCACATGCCTTGCATAATAAAGAATCAAAAGGACAGATACAGTTGGTTTTGATTAATGCTTTGAAGGGCCCTCAGCTTCATTAATATGTATTATACAAGTCATTTGTGAAGAGTTTTCAGCACAAGAATACTCTGAACAAATCCGATAATCATTGAAGCCTCAAAGCCATATTAAGCCACGTACCTCATTGTTGTCAGGTTGATGTATTCAGTGGTAAAACATCCCAAGGAACAGTGTGATACAAACACAAATCAAACAAGAGGTACAGTGCTTGAAAGTAACATCAAGCTGATAATTTGATAACAAAATAGTTGCAAGGCCAGAGATAACCTAATCAGTATACCCTTGCTGTTACCCAAAATCTGACAGTATAAGAAAAGGAATATCAGACATTGGCAGGAGATAATCTAAAAGCTGTTCAAACAGCAAAAAACGTCGTTCTTTTCTCTATATTAATTTAAGAAGGATAAAAAAATGATTGTGCATCTCATTACAGCTAGTAATTTACTCGCCAATATATTCTAAGCATATGTATTAAATCATAAATTCTAATCCAATATACGCCTTCTGTGCACCACAAATCTGATGAATCGAAAGGCATCTATACAAATCTAGCTATGTTCTCAAATCTAAAAAAGCAGAGAAGTTTCATGCCTGTTTGGAGTGCCTGCATATTGTTTGGAACAAATAAGCACTAGTCAATGTGTTAACGTTAACGTACACATATCAAATACACTTCCGAAAGCACTTAATGCAGACAACAGATATCTGGAGTAAACTTAATTCTTAATAAAATTTAATCAATTGATACATCATTTTTGTTAATTGATACCGAACTATATTTTCATGTATAAGCACAAAAATTGGGAAGATGGTAAGAAAAAAAAAAAAAAGAAGGGGGGGGGGGAGGGGGGGGG